TGGATGGGGCTTTGAGCAACCTGGTCTAGTGGAAGGTGTCCCTGCCCGTGGCAGGGGGGCTGGAACTAGATGATCGTTAAGGTCCCTTTGAACCCAAACCATTCTATGATTCTATGATTATGGCTGCAGGAAATGTGAAGAAAGGATGACTAAGAAATTTTACTCATAATTGCTGTTACTATTATGCATAAGCATACAGGGCCACAGATCATGCACCCAAAGATCCTGAATGCCAGCCCTGATGCAACCAGCCTGTTTTGTGTTTGAATTCCTCAGCCTTTAGGCCTTCAATAATCATTAAGTAGTGCCTTTATCAACTTCTGGGTCTCCAGCTCAGCTTCAGTGGGCTTTTCAAGTGCACTGAAATGATCTAGCTTAATTCATTCCAACTCATTGAGAAGTATATTTAGATGTGATTTGCTGATGACACAGCACTTCACGTCCTTGTTTTGGGACAAGTTATATTTAGGTTTGCAAACTTATTTCACAGTAAGATGCTCTTTGGTGTGCTCAGACAGAACTGACAGTCTACTCCTCTTTCCAATGTTTGCTTATAGATGATTGCAACTTTTAATTACTTAGTTTTGCTTATTATGCCTCACTGGTGCGGGCAGCGGCTTTACGATGTGATCATGTACAGCTTCATTAAGAAAATGTTGGTAGCGTTTCATGTTGCCCGTCTGCTGGGTGCAGAAAGAAAGGGCTCAGCCGCCTGCTTCAGGCAGCGGGGGCAGGAGCCTCCCACCACAGTCTGCTGCCTCCCACCACCTCTCCCAGCTGCTGCAGAACATCCTTGCTCCAGCATCCTTTCTCCTCTAGAAGAAACACAAGGGAGTCGAATCAGCCCCTCCTAACTAAAGAAGTGTAGACATACAGGCTTCACATCACTTGGTGGAGACACGCTCAAGGGATTTTTCTGCATCCTGAACAAATCTATACTTATAAAAAATGGCAACAACTAACTCCAATGTGAAGAAGGCTTTGGAAGGCGGAATTGTTCTAAAATTAAAATAAAAAGTGTTCGCTTAAAATAACTAAGAGTTTTGCCAGACACTCAGAGCCTCTCTGTGGCTTAGAGACAATCAAAGAAACAAAGCTTTGCTGCCCTCATGTTCCCTTCGTGACATCCACTTTCATCCCTCAGCTGTGACTTTAGCCCTGTGGCTGGAAGCGGAATTAGGCTTCCTTCACTGAGCTCTGGGCATGATCTGGTATTGATAAGACAGAAAGGTGTGGGAAGTCCTTGGTGAATAAGGTAGATGCACAGGCTGTCCTGATTCTCAGGCTTTCTGTTTGCAGAAAAATGCCCAGTTCTTTCAAGGACCGAATTTGCTGATGTTACTGCTGAAATGTATCCACTGGGGACCAAACTGTATTATGAATGTGACAGCGGCTACACGAGAAGAAGTGGCCACTACTTGGGAATTCAGTGTCAGAGTACAGAGCAGGTTGCTTCTTGGACGTACAAGGAATTTGAATGCATTGGTAAGTGATTATTGTCCTTTTTCTACACTTGTAGAGGTGTTTTTCCAATGAGTTTTAGTCAGTATGAGACACATCTGGGCATTGCTCTAACAAGTGATCTTTTGTGCTTATCTTTGCAAATTAGATCTTGCAACAATTCTATCCTGCCTCTAAAAGTTTGGGTGCTCTGGCTTTGCTCTGCTATTTGTCCTGCTGTAATTCAGCAAATACAACTTCTCCCACAGATGAGAAAATTTTGTTGTCAACGGCTCCCGCGATGGAGTTAGATTTTACACAGAAGCCAGAAAGAAAAACACAGAGCCCTGCACCCCAGAAGCAAGAAAACCTTTCAGAGTTTGACCAGAAAAGTAAGTAAGAGCCCATTCATCACTGTAACATTTCTTCCACTGATTTCCATGGAAGCAGTGTAAGAATGATGAGTAATTTTTAATTATTTTGACAGAGAGAAAGAAACAATTGCTATAATATCTTGGCTGAACAAGTGATATGGTGTAAGTGAATGAGTATTTTATATCCTAACAAAGAATTAGGAAGGCTTGGTATATCCTGCTTGTCTATGTTTTGTAAGAATACAAATCATGTTGTTTCAAGAACAAAAGCAGTAGGTAAAATCTATCTGCTTTAACCGTGTGCTGCCTTGTGATCCCACAGATTTTTGTGGTCCTCCCAAGACTGTTCCACATGCCTCTTTAATCCTGAACAAACATTATTACGTGGGACAAGTATTACATTTCAAATGCCAGAGTGGTTACGATAAGCGACCCCCCACCTCTGGCACCCGCAGGTGCAAGAAGGTGAATGGCAAAATCATCTGGACCCACCTTGACATGCGATGCACCAATGACAGCAGCTACAGCGACGAGTGGCCACCACAGACTATTGAGCCTGGTAAGATGGTTGCTTTGGCATCATATCGGTGTCATAACCTGTTCATGCAGGGTCCAGAACCCCCAGTAGCTGCATCCTACTTTGTCTTGGGTGTCCTTTCATACTAACTCCAAAATTGCAGGAATTTGTGAGCAGATAGAGCCACACTGTCATATACTGGAAAGAAAATAGTAGAATAAGTCTTTCTCTTTTCTCCTTCCTCCTGGCAGCTATAGGTCATCTGTTGTCACTTCACAGTAAGGTACTCCAAAAGGTATATCTAAGCATCCTTCATGATTGCTCAGGGGTTTAGGATCCAGAGTTTAGCTAGTCCATAGCTAAAAATGAGTCATGTGGCTCGGTTCTTAATTTAACAGCCAGGATGTTGTTTTGAACAGCAAAAAGCCCACCAGTATTGCACTGTAGTCCTTATGGACCCAGATTCAGTAGGACATGCACCAGTGCAGTCTGGCACCTTGAGTTTCACTGCTCAGGGAGCCAGCAGGGCTCTCAAGTGAGGTTGCAGAATCTCTGTTTCTTGCTTTTATGCCATTAGATGGGTTATGCCAAAAAAAACCCAACCTTCATGGCCTCTACCCCACCCAAATTACCTGTCTTTTCTGATGACATCTCTCCTAACTCTACAATGAATGAGTTCAATATGCAGAGAGAAAACAGAGCCCCTTTCCCAAGCATCTGTGATCGCACTGAGGGTCTTAGGCCCTCTCTGGGTGGCAGGCAGAGCTATTGTAGATGGAAGGACCCAGATGTCCACCACCTCCACAGTCCTCAGGCTTTCATTACCTTCCCAACCTCCTCTGAGGTAGGGGAGTGCTGTGGGCGGAATTTTACAGAGGTGGGAGCCAATGCAAGGTCAACACAAGAGGATTTTTCCTACCAACAGAGAATGGAAAAAACTGGTTTTCACCAGTAATTGGGCCTTTAAGGGGAAATAAATCTTGCAGAACTGTAGACGTCTACTGCATAGATGCCCACATCTGAGCTGGACTGCCTTTATAACCAACAGAGGAAAATAGGTGTTGATGGTGCTGTATTAGCTGCCCTATTTCACAAGTCCATTTTAGTGTGAGATTAATTGCACCCTTTAAAGGCTTGTTTCTCTCTGGTGACTATAGCAGAGCCCAGATGAGTATCTCAGAGGCCACATCTATGTAACAGTAGGTGAGATGAATGCCAGCCCTTGTGACCCATACCAGGCCACGTGGTAGAGCAGGATGGTTTGGGCAGGCCCTTTTGCCTGCAGAGCAACCTCTCAGGTGACACTTCGCCATCGTTGCCTCTCGTTGCTGCTCTGACTGTAAGAATTAATCACCTGGACACACTATTTTAGCATTAACCCAGGAATTTCTCCCCTTCTTCATAGATCCACCTGTTTCCCTGTGGTGCCCGGTTCAGAGTGTTCCAGGTACAGCAGTTGCAATTTGTTTTTTGTTTTTTCCTCTTCCTTCAGGACAGTAATTTTTTTTCTATTGGTAATTTCACTTGGTACTGTCATGATGAAGGAACTTCTTGCTATGATGGAAATAACCCATCAACATACCAGTCCTAGAAAATGATACAACCTATTGAATAGTCAGAGATTACAAATATTTGAAATTTTAAAATTAGGATTATGAAAAAATGAGACTGGATGATGAAATAGGCCATCTTGGCCTTTGATTCAATAGAACAATAATTCCAGTTTCCTGCAAAAGTACACTCAAACCTGAGCAAAGTCAGGTCTTTGTAATTAGGGCACCAAATATTTATTCCTCCGAAGTGTTGCCTTTTTCTTTGTTATGATGTGACGTCTTTAATGGGGCTGGGTAAGGAATATCCTCCCCTTTCTCAGTTCTCACCCCAGCATTCAGCACAAAGAGATTTATCAAGAGACCGCTCTTACAGGTTCTCTTGTCAAAAACCTGCCCATATCTCATACTGACTCAAGTTCAGAGCTTCTTTTTCAGGATAAGGGAGAAGTTCAATGAATTTCTTGCACCAGGGAAGTTTTGGGTTACATTTCTGGGGAAAAAGAGGTCCTGTTTGAAGCCATGTTTCCAAATCCTAGCTTGGCACCTTGAAAGTCATCCTTCCCAATCTCATATGAAATAAAGACCTTAGCTGGATCCCATTGCCTGGAAGATACAGTTCACTTCATGCCCACCGTTAACAGATATCAGGTCAGCACATACGTTGATATCCAGGCTGGAAACATCTATTGATGGCCAAGAAACAAACATGACAATTATTAAGTCTGCTGTGCAGAGGTAGAGCTGTCAGACCTAGCCTGACTCTATCCTCATCACTGCTGTGATGCTTATCGCCAGGAGAGCAAATCGATACAAAAATCAAGAATTTCTCTCTCTTTGTAGGTTCGACTCATCCGTCCTTTTCCTCATCTGTGATACTGCCAGTGACAGGTATGTCATTTTGTTAATTGGACTCAGACCTCACCCCATCCCCCAGATCAGTTACTTTGCCTTTCAATTTGCTGTTCTACCAAAGAGATCCATCTCTGTTCTGAGAGCTAATAAATATACTGCAAGACACATCTATGCCCATGTATTGGGTGAGAAGTTGTAAAGAAAGTGTAAATAGAGACTGTTTAAGCACTTAAGCTTTTTATAGAGAGGTTTCCAAAGACTCATAAGGGATGTAAAAGAAAATAGATCAACCAAAAGCCTAGTTTTTAAATGAAGCAATTTTCAGATTCTTTCTCTGATACTGTGAATTCAGTGAAGAACTTCAACTGGAAAAAACAGGGAAAATGTAAATATTTAAATGATGTGTTTCTTTCACATTTTCAAAGGAGTAAAAAAAGGATGGGCAAATAAAATATTTTCTCACAGCTAAACTGATGCATTTAGATCAGTCTGAAGAGATCTTCCTCTCCCCCTTCCCCATCTTCCATTCAACAATTAGCTGCTAAAATAAAAATTGTCTTTTACTGTGCATATGCTCAAGACTTTGTACAAGGGCTCTTGATTCCAGCTGGAGCCTGCTGACAACTGTAGCACACATTATAATGAAGAATATAGGAGTGAGATAAAGGAAGGGAAGGAGGAATATTGCAAACTATGCCAGAGACCGCAGCATGAGTAATCCCTGGATATTTAGCCGTGGTTGCCCTCTAGTTGCCCAGGTCTTCTCTGGCTGGGTCCTGTTTGACCCAGGGAGCAAAGCAGTGGGAAAATATGGAAGAACTATTGCCTCTGGGCATAGGGGCAAGATAAGCCCCTATCCCAGGTCTCGCCTGTTTCTCCCAGTTGGAGTAATTGCAATAATTACAGATAAAACCAGGTGCTAACTGTGATGATTTTCTGTTTTAACAGCTATCTTTTTTGAACTGTTTGCTGTCTTTGTGTGACTCACCAAGCAGAGAATTTGGTAAGTGGGACAGAACCGGTAAAATGTGAAATCTAAAAAAAAAATCCCTAGCAGTGGAAGAGCTATCAACCGGATCAGCCATCTCACTATTGCACTGCTTAGATTTCTGAATACCTTCTTTGGTATTAAATAAATGACCCTGGATTTTGGGTTGTCTGGTTCAGCTATTAAATACTGGCACAAGAAAAGGAACAATCAGAGCTTTTGAAATCAAAAAGCACGCTTTGTCCCAGCGATCGTGGAACTGAGAATGGCAGTTCAAATAATGGGTGGAAAATGAATCCCATGGGGAAATTAAGGTCAATTATGCAAATATGTTGGTTTCAGATAGACTACGCAATCAGTCTTTTTCTCTCTGGCTAACCTGTGGGAAGCCTGGTGGAGCATCTGCCACCACGACCATGTAATTCTTCTTCCTTCGTCCCCCTGATTTCTCAGTTGTGTCATCGCAACTTTGTACTTCAGACTTATTTTAGTCTGGCCTCCTTGCTGTTTCTATTGCTACACTGAGATGCACAAAGGCTGTTCCTATTCACAGGCTCCCCAGCCTAGTTAATCCAAGATGTCCCTATTTGACACTTGGGAGTTCTCCTTTTCTCCTCTCTCTTTGCTAATCCTCATCCCCATTTCTCTTCATGTTCCTTACTAATTACCGATGAGCTCTGGTTCTCTGCTGAATGGGGGTTTTTCTCGAAAAGGAGGAGGGCCTTGTGAAACCACATCAGCAGTGCTTTTTTGCCAGTTCACAATAGGATAAAGCCATAGAAAGTGTAGACAACACTTTGAAACATGTTTTAGTGAAGATAGTCAACTGTGGTAAAGATTACCCGGGCCGTTGTGGGATTTCTGAGAATATGATAGGTGAAAAATTGGCAAGAATGATCTACATTTCCCTGGCCCTGTGGTGGAACAAGTGATGAAATAGTGGATACCAGATGAAATAGTGACTGAGATTCTATGTGGTGTCTTCTGCAAAAAATACTGTTTGGTTTCTCATAGTAAATATTGAAGAAGCCATAGAAAACCTGCCTCTTTCCAGCTGTAGTAAAGTCTTTTCCTGCTGTAGAGAAGACTTCTCAGGGAATTGTGGCGTTCAGATCCGAACTCATGAAATCGATGCTTTGCCACAGAAGAAACCGGATTGTACCAGCAACTCCAAGACCAGCAGTGGCAAACGAGGAGGAAGCCTGGACACTCAAATCTAACGTGTGAAGGAGGCAGAAAATATTACAGCTTAATTCTTATGGGGACAGAGTGACTTTCCACCTACAAGTACGGGTGGAGGGAGTGCACCCCATCACTGACAGACGGGGAAAGAGCCCTGCCTGAATCTGCTTCCCAGAAACACTTCTCCTCCTCCTACCATATAGCAGATGCATTGCTAATATAACTGCAGCCTCTCCCAAGCGACCAGGCGTACATATGGACCGCTCGCCCAAGCGTGTTAGATGATGGCACCGTTATTACAGCCCACACACCACCTTCCCCACAAAGAGAGACGCTGGACACCTGATGTCCCCCATCCCTTCCCTACCCGGATGGGTCAAACGCAGTCACACTTTTCTCCTCCTCACACTGTTCCTCTTGGAAAGGGAAATTAAACTCATTTACCCTCTGCACGTAAGCTGAAAATCTTACTGGACTCCCTCATGGTTCAGTATACACATGCATTTGTCATTGCCCCCCTCTTCCCAATTATTTTGGACTAGTCCCTTCCACAACAGTTACTACATTATTCCTCCAGCTCAGAAAAGGATGCTGCAGATTGTGGCAGTTGATTAATTTGACAGCTCCTTTCGTAGCTGCAGAGCACCAAAGAACCTAGCGCAAAGGCATTTGAGGACAGACTCAAGCATACACAATACTTGACAGGTACTTATATTATTGGGAATTTGTGAAGTCTGAATAGTCTTCTGCCTCATTTTAGCCACGCTTAGCCTGGTAGGATGGGGTTCATCTGACAAAACGCAAGCATCTATGTCTGAGGCAGACAATGGGGAGGAAGAAGTCCCTTTAGAGAGCAGTTCATCTCACCCTATTGCCTATATCATAGAATCATAGAATCGTTAAGGTTGGAAAAGACCTCTAGGATCATCGAGTCCAACCGTCAACCCAACACCACCATGCCCACTAAACCATGTCCCTAAGCGCCTCATCTACCCGTCTTTTCAATACCTCCAGGGATGGTGACTCAACCACTTCCCTGGGCAGCCTGGTCCAATGTTTAACCACTCTTTCAGTAAAGAAATTTTTCCTCA